CACTCTTATATAAAGTTAAGGAATCTACCTCACCACACCAGCTCCAAACCGGATGACATAGAGAAGCAAACTTAGCATAATATTTCTTACTGCCTATTCAATCAAAATACAAAATTTGAAGTTTATTGGTCAACCCTATAAAAAGTTATTAGAAAAAAAACAGAAAATTTGTGGACGGAAGAATAACAGACGGACAGACAGACAGGCAGACGGACAGACAGACAGACAGACAGAGTGATTACTATAGGGCACCCGCAAATCCTTGCGGGGCCCTAATTAGTATGAATAACGTAAATCAGCATATGACTTAATTATGAATTGTATTTGCTGACAAGGTCATTGTATCGACCATAGAACTTCCGAAATGATGACTTTAAGCGACACTGTTGATGTTCTTGTTTAATCAACTTGTTTGTCAATAACTTGCCTCGTTTAAGAAATTGTTCATACGTAGAGCATGCTCTGGCGTATCGAAATCACTAAGAGATATACACCCCATATGCAGGTGATGAAGGTATATTGCTGCATAAATAAGGGAAGTTTACGATTGAAAAGTTAAAGTCATCACGTTTATCATAAAACTTTGTTGTTAGTTTACCATTAACGTCTTTTTCTAGTAAAATATCCAAATATGAAACAAATTTGTCAGACTCTGTGGTATCTTTTATCTCGAGCTCACTGGGATATATCAACTTGTTTCCTATATAACTGTAAGAAAAATAGAATTTTTGACACTGATATAAATTGAATAAATCTATTCTTGCGCTATATTACCCTTGTATCAGAGGACTAAAAGGAAACCGATTTAAGTCATTCTAGGCTTTTCTTTATAGATTACATGAAATATATGGAGATAGCGAACAGTATTCAAGCTCAAAAGTCCATTAAACAATATAAAATAGGAGCAGAGCAAAGACGGACCCCCAAACATCAGAGGTGGGATCAGGTGCCATGGAGGAGTGAGCATCCCCTGCCGACCGGTCACACCCGACGTGTGCTCATTGTCATGATCGGGAAATAACAGAAAAATCCGTCGGCATTTCAGTGTGTAAATAATGGCCTAACAATTAGTATGAAAAACGTCAGTCAGCATTTGACTTAATGATAAATTGTATTTACTGACAAGGTCATTGTATCGACCATAGAACTTACGAAATGATGACTTTAAACGAAACAGCTGATATTCTTGTTTCATCAACTTGTTTGTCAATAATTTACCTCGTTTTAGAAATTGTACATACGTAGAGCATGCTCTTGCGTATCCAATCAACTGAGAGAAATATACCCCGTATGCAGGTGAGGAAGGTATATTGCTGAATAAGTAAGGGAAGTTGACGATTGAAAAGTTAAAGTCATCACGTTTATCATAAAGATTGGTTGTTAGATTACCATTAACGTCTTTTTCAAGTAAAATATCAAAATATGAAATAGATGTGTCAGACTCTGAGGTATCTTTTATCTCAAGCTCACCAGGATATATCATATCGACATAAGAATGGAAATAGCCATTGTTAATTGACAATACGTCGTCGATATATCTAAATGTCGAGTTGAATGCCACGGCAAGTGTTTTCTTCTTCTCACGTACAAGATTTTGAACAAATTCTGCTTTATATGAATACAAAAAAGGTCTGCTAATAACGGGGCGCAATTGGTACCCATGGGAGTTCCAATAGATTGTTGCAAGACCTGGTCTCCAAAAACCACATAGATATTGTCAATCAGAAACTCAAGCATCTTTTTTAACAAAATAATTTTGCAAATGACCAGGTAAGTATATTTACGAGTTCCATTTTTATTAAAAAAGCAGCTGTCAATGATATCAAAAAGCCTGGACTTTAATTTATCGTGGGGAATGGTTGTGTATAAAGTTGAAAAGTCGTTAAGCTGTTGATTTTGGTAAAATCTTGCGATTTCAAATTTTCCAAAAGTTCCTTGGAATTTTTAAGTATCCACATCTGATTTACACCACTTCTCGAATATATTGTTGCACAGTACTCTTGAAGTTTCTCCTTCACTACTGTTAATATATTAGTGAGGAGTAAAGAAAGAGGCTTGGTTGAACATTTACTGGAACCCGCTATGTATCTTTGTAAGGATTTTTATGAATTTTCGGAATCCAATATAGATATGGTAATTCAAATTCATTTTGGTTGTTTGGAATATTAAAAATATTCAAAACTGACATATGTTTTTGAAGAATTTCTTCCTTAGAAAGGGAACTATGAGTATAAGTTGGATTTATACTTGTAAAATTAATTCCAAGTTCCTTTAAAATACATTTAATATAATGAGCCTTACAAACAAAGACAATGTTGTTACCTGCTTTGTCAGCAGTACGTACTGATCATGTAATCTATCTAATTCTTTGTTCACTTCTGGATTATTGAATACAGAAGGATAGATGGTTATCATATTGCCCCTCAATCTTTTACTGCGCGATTTTAATATACATCTGATACATCTGATCCATTCTGACAATGTGTCAAGGTCTTCTTTTTCATGTCTGGCCCATCGCCTTGCGTAGTCCTCTACAGAATCCATAATATTTATGAAATTCCGACGCCAGTTGAAGGATCGGGATTCCCTAAATTTAGGACCTTTTAAAATAAGTGATCTAAGGTCCTCATTATTAACTATATTTACGTCACCAGTAATAACGTGTCCAGCAGGACTATAGTTATAGGGCGAAGAAGAACATGAACACGATGGAGGATTATGTTTCAGATATTCGATATCCAGGCCCTTTAAAGTTTTCTTGTAATTAAAAAGTTTGGAAGCAATAGTTGATGTATATTTGTAGTAAATACAAGGTGTAGTCTTTAACTTGAAATATGGTGGAATACAAGACTGGACCCTTTTGTGATTAAGATTATTAATTATATTAACCGCGTCAATTCCTTTGTTGGCATATTGAAGTTTAAGGAAAAACGGATTGTTTTAGCTGCATTTTCCTCAGTAAAACGTGGGGGTTTAAAAAGCCTATGATTTGCAATATCCATAATCACAGATCCGAGCCTATATTCTTGTGTCGAGGAATCAAAAAATGGACTTTCCTTCACCTTTTCAAGAAGATTATTTAAAAGTTTCAAAGGGACAGAGTAAAGTTTGGTGCGAATATGATGTAGACCTAAAAGCTGATTTACGTAAGGTAGTAATGAATCAAAAGAGACATCGTGTATAAAAGGTTTATTGTAAGACCGGTGCCCATGACTACGCTTACGTCTCTGTGTATGGTTAAGAAGTCCCATCACATTTACATTGTTACACTGTGGACTGGAAAGATTTCCAACGCTATCGACATTGTCATTACATCCATAGGGAAAGGCTGTCCCTAGCTTTCTTATCCAAAACGGATTACACCCTTTGTCTACGGAAAGGTGTACTCAGTGATGGACTGTTTGTGTGGTGGTAAATCTTTTCTAGAATTCTCACTTGCATTGACAAAATAGAATGATCAGGTAAATTAAAATGTTTGTATAAAAGTTGCTGACCCCCAATATTTATCTGAAATCTATGACCTGATGTTCTTTTATTGAGTGATCCCTTGGTTTCACCAAAATAAACAAGTCCACAAAGATTACATTCTATTCCGTAGACAGCATCAGAAGATTTGCAGTTCAGATTTTCCCAAGTTTTGGTACAGAAGCTCTGTCCAGTAAGATTACTGGTGAAAGAAATTTTAGTCATCAAAATATTACAAGTTTTACAGTTTTTCGCACATTTTGAAATAGAAGACATGGGATCGGAAAAGGAGTCTTCGAATATATCTCTAATAGAAACTTTACATTCTTTCAATTTTTTTATATAAACTATTGGTTTTATACTAAAACTGGGAATCTGAAGACTGTACATATGACATATGTTTAATATCCCTGAGGATTATCCGAGGGGCACCGAATGAACTCCTTGAGTCTGTGTCCCTTAAAGACCCAAAAGAGTGACGCCTTTTTATACTGGGCGACGCGTCTGCCAGTATCATTTCGTTATTCTGTGTACTCATGAATGAATAGGTACCGACCGAAAAGTATCCTCGGGGACAAACTGTCCAACTGCAGAGATACATGTTCGGTGGTATAAATGATACATATGGAGATAACGAACAGTATTCAAGCTCAAAAGTCCATTAAACAATACAAAATAGGAGCAGAGCAAACACGGACCCCCAAACATCAGAGGTGGGATGAGGTGCCCTGGTGGAGTGAGCATCCCCTGCCGACCGGTCACACCTGTCGTGTGCTCCTTGTCATGATCGGGAAATAACGGAAAAATCCGTCGACAATTCAGTGTGTAAATAATGGCCTAACAATTAGTATGAAAAACGTCAGTCAGCATTGGACTCAATGATAAACTATATTCGTTGACAAGGTCATTGCATAATAAATTAAAACCAGAATAGTTGTAAAAATTTATCTTTTGAATAAGTAAAGATAAACATAGCCCATTAAAAAATAAATGAATTTTTTACAAAACGTATTATGACAGGCATTGTAATTTCAAACGATAACACACGTAATTCGATTTTTCAGCTCATCCATGGATGGCACAATTCAATTCAAAAAATAACAATTCAATACTTCGTTTATTTCTAATGTTTGATTAAGATAAAATACCGACACCACTTTATAACAAACTATGTACATCAACAAGAATAAATATAGGTTACCCCATATCCAAGATATTCGACTTTTAATTTACTTCAATTTTCACTGTGCTCAGCAGATCTCTAAAACCCTACACTTGTTATGAAACTGCTGTATATTTCTTCGTGTTCGTAGCAAAAACTGTCACCAGATGTGCGTCACTAGAAAACAGTGCACACACCTGTGCTTCCAAGACCAAATAGCAATAGAGTAATTGTGTGAAGAGTACCTGACTTTAGTAAATATTTTGAATAGATAATATGCACTGATCGAATATATCAAAAAGAATATCACTTCTATGTTCTGTCATGGCATTAGAACAATTTTTTAAATAAAATTGCCTTTCTGAATGACTCAGAATGTGACTATGAATTTCAACTCCTCTTGCAGAAATTGCCAATATTTTAAATCCATTCTTTGAATATTTCTGATGCCAGTTTTCTTATACATTTGTTTTGTGAGTTATGCATATCTTGATGAATATCTTCCATCGCATATCCATATTCAACCTTGTTTTTGTCCTCTATTGGATAATTCTGGAATTTGTTCTCGTAAAAACAACCAGGAGTGCCGCCCCTTATGATGAGAACCACACTTGGTCGTTGTTGTCTTAATATAACGCCAGGTGAACCGGATGACCCTTGGTTAAATGTTGTACGGAATAAGATTTTTCTCGGTGGATCACGAAGTTCTCTGTAATAGTCAACACCATCAGGAAAATAATTTACACTCCACTGACTTAGTTCTTCAATGTACTTGTCAACATCGTTATTTGGTTTAATAACTCCTGGGTAAACTTCGCTGTCTTCCTTCATCTGAACACCACCAGGATGACCAACAAGATGAACCTCTGAAGGAAACTGCTGAATTTTACTAAATGAAGACAAGTGTGGCGGAAACTCGACGTCTGAAAGACGATGCTTCTTCAGTTCCAGAATAGCAACATCAAATCCATCATGTACGTAATGAACAGATCGTTTAAACTTGAAGGTATCTTTTTCTTCACGGTCTTGAAGGTAAAGCTTTCTCTCAAATTGTATAAAGATTCTGGATTGATCCATAAATTTTCGCTGTTCTGTATTGAAAAAAAACATTTGCAAACAATTATTTTATTTCAAATACAAATTCACATGAACATGGTTATGAATAGTAAGAAACAAATTCACAATAAGATGTCATATGAGCTTTTTTGTTAAGTTGGTGTTAATTTTGTTGTTGGAAATCAGGACAAAGCATTGTAAAAAAAAAAAAAATCAATGTTAATTGAAACAAAATATGAAGATCGGCAGTTATGATGTTATTCTGTTGCATTACAAACCAAACAAGCATGTGGATTATACAACTGTTAATATCGGATCTTGCAAAAACATTTATTCCTATGAACATTTTCATGAAAATCACAATAATAATATTCATACCATTTGAACCTTATGCCTTCAAAACCGAATGCCATTCTGTTTAACCCCCGTGCTATTCTAAGTTTGCCGTAACGTAGGCTGATGTATCGATTAGGAGGAAAAGAGGCCAGATTTTGGGAGGTGTTAAAAATAAAGTATTTTTAAAATATTATATTTTTTTATGTATGTATACCTCTATATATCATTGGTGCAGATAATTCCATACGAGTTTAACCAAAAAGGCAATGATAATAAAAAACAATCTCATAAATCCTATAAAAGGTTCGAAACGCAATTAGAAACAAGAATAGGACAAAAGAAGCTTCTGGAAATACAAGGATTGTAATGACTTCATGAAATGCATGGGCAAAACGTGCCTAGTTATTCAGTCACGTGACAATAATGAAGTTACAAGTCACATATTGACCATGGCGTAAAATTTTAATCAAAAAGTTTGAGACCTTTCTCAAAAATAGTTTTTCAACAGTACCATCCTACTTTCAAGATGTTACGGGATATTTATCCTACAGATGCAAGATACAGAGTTCTAAATATAAACTGTTTACCTGTAATAGTACTCTCTATTACGTGTAAGCAAGTCATTATATATTTGTCTCCCACACGGAATCCTGTTCCTGTAGGATGCCCGTCGATGTAAATCATCCCAACACTTCTGCTGACTTCTGCTTTAAGTTGACTTGTCATCACATCTCTATGAAACGTTGTCTTGGAAAAAGGATACATTGGTCCTGTCTTTGGTAATTTTGTCTTCGGCTACATAAAATGAAATGTGAACTTATATATGATTAAAGTAAAAGACACGACAGTCTGCCATTATGATTCATATTTGGATGTTTTACTGACTATAGACGATAAGGGCCAACTAACAACTAAGGTAAAGAAAAAAACAGAGATCGATCTAAAAAAAAATCTATAAACAATACAAATATGTGAAGAGGGCATAAAACACAGACCCCTGGAAATTCCAGAGGTTGGATCAGGTGCCTAGGAGGAGTGAGCATCCCCTGTTGATTGGTCACACCCGCCATGAGCCCTGTGCATTGATCAGCTAGACGGAACTTTCCGAAGTTAATTCGTATAAAAATAAAGGCCTTTGTTTTATACTGAATTTGACATTCAAGATAAAGTATCTCCTCAGTTCACTCTATAGAAACTCTGATATGCAATGCAGAATTCTTCTTAAGAATTCGTAAAAATATATGGTCTGAATTATAAAATTGTGAATTCAAACTCTTCCTCAAATACTTATTTCACTAGCACTTAAAAATAGTTTCCCTTTGGTAATAAAACAGTTCTAGGTGAAGTAACATAGCTAGTTTGTATATCTAAACTAAGGAGTGATAGAAGTAAGCTTTGGTCTTGATGTAGTGAGTGTTCATGATCCGAATGGCTAAATTATTTAGCAACTATGGACAACAGTAAAATATTTCTATAATACGACTTTATAACATTCCAGTTTACAAATATACAGTCTTATATCGAAACTCATTCAGAAAAATTAAATGGTGTAATTGTAAGTGAACACAAGTTGATTATTTTTTTATGCACGAAGTGCAAAGAGAAAGTTTAACCAATTACCTCAGAATGTGTTGAAACATTTAAACGCTTCGGCTTCTGAGCTGAACTCTTTGTCTGTAAATGGAATTGCGAGGGCATTGGTTCCTTCTTAAAAAAAGAGACAGATAGAGAGAGATTAGCTACGTTAAATATCATAGAATATTCTTTCTATTTGTTCATTTTTGCTTTTTGGAAAATATTGATTCACATTGTTTTGTACCATGGATTATTAAGACCATTATCTCAATTGTAGATTTTAATGAGGAAGGGGGAAGGGGCATAGGAAGAAATGTTGATTGTACAGAAATTTATTTGGAGATGTATTATTAATATAAATGAAAATAAGTATTCCTTCTGAAATTTTCAAAACATGACATAAATGTCAACAATTATTGTTATGGAAGTTCACACTTTTTTCTATTACCTGTTTCCAGAATCGCAGAGTTTTGTGAACGTTTATTTCGTGTTTTTCACCGATGGGACAATGCATGCATTGGACCGTTTCATTTTCTGTTTCGAACAATTCACTCTCAGGAATAAATGACAGATCCTTTTCATTGCATATAATGTTTCGACACTTGAAGCCTCTTTGAAAATTCTTTTTTTCAGCAAAAATCTTCGTGAGTTCTAATAGTGCAAGTTCAATATCATTTCCGATTCTATGACATACTTCAGATTTTATTTGTAAAGGAGCAATACACATGACTTGAAGCTGTATGTCATCATCACATATACCAAGAATAACAGTGTGATGTTGATGTTCAAACACTGCTGCCGTGTGATAGAGACATTGAGTGCCTTTATCACTGGCAACACGCCATCCGAGGAAACTCATACAATAGGCTACAAGCCTATAAAACACAAACATGGCAAAGGAGTTGAATCGAAAACACAAAATTGATGAATAACTCCATTTCTTTTCAAAGATGTCTTTTTTAAAGGGTTTCCTGTTCATGCATGGAACATACCAAGACATTTCAGTTTTTGTGGCATTGATTACGACAAGCATTCGAAGCCTCTCCATATAACGCACAAGCTCAAATTTGTGTTTAACATACAATGGTTCCTCTTTCCAAAGGGCTTCGAGAAGTGTATCCTTTAGTTCCCCCGTCTCATTGAAACATTCCCATTCTTTTATATATCTTCTTTTACAGTCTATAGTGACGTGATTCTTATCAGCAATAATTCTGCTGAATGCATTAGAGAACCATTGTATTCCAAGAATAACATGTTTGTTTAGTCCATCTTCCTCAAAATATAGAAAAATTCCATGTGCATGATAAAATTTTAAGAAATCTAAAATTTCTTCATTTGTTTTCAATTGATATTCGTCAGGGATTTCATTATTGACTTTTTTTATTTCATCAGTGGACAAGAGCGGCTGTTTTAATTTTTTCAAATAATGTTCAAGCAAAGCCCATGAAGAAGGAACTTCGAATTTTGTGTCTAATTTACGTGATACTACATCTGCAATCGAAGATTTTATGGACTGTAGAGAATTCTTACATCCTTCGTTCATTTCTTTTGGTCCGATTGCAAATTCGTTTCCATTTATAGACTTGTAAAGCCATGAAATGTCTTCTTCTGGTACGACACGCCAAAAGCTTTCAAAGAATTTTTCTATTTCCTGAATGAAATTAAAACATTTAATTATTATCATGTTTATTTTAATTCTATTTTAATATACTTTACTTCTATATCCATAACTTGCATAAAGTATATGTTAAAAAGAATTTGTTCATAAAATTAAACTAAACAGACACTCTCTGATGACATTCTACATTGATATCTGTATTTCATTTATATAAAATCAAACATTTTACATGAAAAAATTACAAAAGATTAATTATCAACATAAGGGGTATTATTTTATGCTGCGTTGTAAGGAGCTTAATCTGTTCGCAATCGTCATGAAAATTGATTTCGACTTCATGAAATATGTGGAGATAATGAACAGTATTCGAGCTCAAAAGTCCATTAAACATTACAAAATAGGAACAGAACAAACACGGACTTATAGGACATCAGAGGTGGGATCAGGTGCCATGGAGGAGTGAGCATCCCCTGCCGACCGGTCACATCCGCCGTGTGCTCCTTGTCATGATCGGGAAATAACGGAAATTATGTCGACAATTCAGTGTGTAAATAATGGCCTAACAGTTAGTATCAAAAAAGCTAGTCAGCATTTGACTTAAAGAAAGATAATATTTGCTGACAAGGTCATTGTATCGACCATAGACCTTACGAAATTATGTCTTTAAACGAGACTACTATACAACACGTAGTAATAAAAAGTTAACTCTAACTTTTGATTAAAGACACTATTTTTTAAACTCTCAGTTGATTCGATAGGCAAGAGCATGCTCTACGTATGAATAATTTCTTAAACGAGGCAAGCTATTGACAAACAAGTTGAAGAAACAAGGATATCAACTGTCTCGTTTGAAGTCATCATTTCGCAAGTTTTACGGACGATACATTGACCTTGTCAGCACAAACAGTCTATCATTAAGAGAAATGCTGACTGATGTTTTTCGTACTAATTGTTAGGCCATTACTTATACTCTGAACTGTCTACGGATTTTTCCGGGGGTTTTCCGAACTTGACAAGGAGCACACGGTGGCATGGGATGCTCACTCCTCCATGGCTAATGATCCCTCCTCTAAATTTTGAGGCCCTCTCTGCTTCAAATTTGTATTGCTTCATTGGACTTTGGAAATTGAATACTGTTCGTTATCTTCATATTTCATTTTAAAGAATGAGACAAAAAAAACAAGGATAGTATAAGATAAAATATTTGATAATTCAATGAACTTTCACTCATTTAAGAAATTAAACTGATCGAATTTTTCAATGCTTAATTTGCTAAGTTTCTAAAGATTTGTATTGCAAAGAGTATGTAACTGGTGAACACAACTGGGCTACTTATACGTGGCTTACAAATGTCTGGAAAATCTCATACAAGGTACAATGTTTCGCTTCTTATTCTTTTTTTTTGGTTCAATTATTAACCCTTTGAAAAATAGTATAAAGTTTAGAAAGAGTATTTGAGTCAGAGTTCAAAATATGAGATTTAATTTGATGATTACTGTTTTTGGAGAACCCTTAAGATAATCAAAAAGGGCTATTCTTGAAGTTAAACTAGATCATTGGATATAATAAGGGGATAATATTATGCCTTAATTAGAAGATAAATCCTATATATGACATGGTATATTGGAAATGTTTTCTTTTTTAAAAAAAATATTTATTCTTTTCTCTACATACAAACAATTTCAAAACAAGGCAAGCTACTGACAAACAAGTAGATGAAACAATGATACCAATAATCTTGAAAAAAAATATTGCAGAATGATTACTTTAAACGAGTCTGTTTATATTCTCGTTTCATCAAATTTTGTCAATAACTTACTTCGATTAAGAATTTGTTCGTTCGTAGAGCATGCTCTTGCATATCAAATCAGCTGGAAAACATAAACCCCATATACAGGTGATAATGTATATTACTACATAAGTAAGGAAAGTTGACGATTGAAAAAATCATCACATTTATCATAAAGCTAGTTAGATAACCACTAACGTCTTTTATAGAAAGATATCCAAAAATGAAACAGATGTGTCAGACTCTTTGGTATCTTTTCTTTCATTCTCCATGAGATATATCGTTTCGACGTAGGAATGAAAGTATATATTGTTAATTGACAATACGTCTTCGATATATCTAAATGTCGAATTGAAGGCCACAACAAGTGCTCTCGTCTTCTCATGTATAAGAATTTGATAAAATTCTGCTTCATACGAATATAAAAATTAGTCTGCTAACAACGGGGCGCAATAGGCACCCATAGGGATTCCGACAGATTGTTCAAAAGACTTGGTCTCAAAAAACCACATAAAAATTGTCAATCAGAAACTCAAGCATCATTTTCATATCAACTTGAGTACAAACAGAGTCCCTGTGTGTAAAATCAGAATGATTTCATTAAAATAATTCTGCAATTGACCGTTGACAAGGTAGGTAAATTTACCAGTTCCATTTTTATTGCAAAAGCAATTGTCAATTATATCAGAAAGCCTGGATTTTAAATTATTTTTGGGAATGGTTGTATATAGAGTTGAAAAGTCTTAAGTTTTAATGTTTTTGATTTACGTAAAAAAATTGTGATTTCAAATTTTCCAAAAGTTCCTTAATATTTTTAAATATCCACATTTGATTTACACCACTTCTCGAATACATTATTGTACAGTACTCTTAAAATTTTCCGTTCACTTCTGTTAATATTTTAATGAGGAGGAAAAAAGGAGGCTTGGTAGAACACTTAGTGGAACCCGCTATGTGTCTTTGTTTACAATTGTATAAGGATTTTCGTGAAATTTAGGAATCCAGTATGGGTATGTTAATTTAAATTTATTTTGATTGTTGAGAATATTAAAAATATTCAAAATTGACAAATGATTGTGAAGAATTTCCTCCTAAGAGAGGGAGCTAGGAGTTTAAGTTGGAACACCACTTGTAGAATTAAATCCCAGTTCCAATTAAATATAATTAAAAAATGAGCCTTACATACAAATATAAATTTATTACCTGCCTTGTCAGCTGGGACTAGTAAATACTGATTGTGTAATTTAATTCTTGTTCCACTTCTGAATTATTGAATACATAAAGATAAATGGTTTTATATTGCATCTCAAACGCTTAATGGGATATACTATCATCCATCTGATTAATCTATTCTAACAAAGTGTCAAGGCCTTTTTCATTTTTGACCCATCGCCTTGTGTAATCTTTCATACAATTAATTATACAATATAATATAAATGTGCATTAATTAATAGTATCCATGAAATCATGACGCCAGTTGAAAGATCGGATTTCCCTATCTTTTGGCCCTTCTAAAATCAGCAATTTAAGATTTGTTAATTAGTCCCCTACCGGTGAAACCGGAGGGGACTATAGGTTTCCTCTGAGTCTGTCCGTCCGTCTGTCTGTCTAGCTGTCCGTCTGTCTGTCCCTCTGTCTGTCTGTCAGTCTGTCCCACTTGGTTTTCCGCACTTTTTTCCTAAACGCTTGCAGATATTATGCTGATTTTTGGTATGTGAGTGTATCTTGATGAGTTACAGATCAAGTTTGCATTTCGTTCCAGTTCATTGATTTTTGACGGAATTACGGCCTTTTCAATTTTTATGGGTTTTCCGCAATTTTCTTCTAAAAGCTTGTAGATATTGAGCTGATTTTTGGTATGTGGCTTTACCTTGATTAGTTATAGATCAAGTTTGCATTTCGTCACGTTTCATTAATTTTTGACGGAATTATGGCATTTTCAATTCTTACGGGAACCAGATTACACTTGCCGGTAGGGGACTAGTATTGCTAATGCAATACTCTCAGAATGCTTGTTATATTTACGTCACCAGCAATGACGTGTCCAACAGGACTAGCTGTAGGGTGAAGAAGAATATGAATATATTGGAAGATTATGTTTCATATGTTCGTTATCTGGCTATAGGCTCTGTAGAGTTTTCTAGTAATTCAAAAGTTTGGAAGCAAAAGTCAACGTATGTTTAAAAGAAATACAAGATGTTGTCTTCACTTGGAAGCTTGAAATATGGTGTAATACAAGACTGGGCCCTTTTGTGGTTAAGAATATAACTTATATTAACCTCTTTAATTCCTTTGATGACATATTGAAGTTTCAGGAAATACGAGTTGCTTTTACAATATTTTCTTCCGTAAAACGTGGTGGTTTAAAAAACCTATGATTTGCAATATCCATAATCATAGATCTGAGCCTGTATTTTGGTGTCGAAGAATCCAAATATGGACCTTGTTTGACCTTTTCTAATAGACTGTTTAAAAGTTTCAAAAGGACAGAGTAAAGTTTGGTTCACATATACAAAAGAAATTCCAGGTTTCAAGGTAATTGCTTTGTAACCATTAAGATGTCAATGTGCTGTACCAGAAGTTTTAAATAACCGGATGTGATGCTGACTTGAATCATCAACAGTCAAGACGTGGGGTAACCACTGCTCTTTAAGATCGATACCTGATTTTACACAAGAAATCTGGATTTACAGTTGTCAAAAATTATTTGTTGTCATTTGTGAAAGAAATCATCAGAGAATTACTCCTTGAATTCAACAGATGGACAGTGGTAGACACAGAGTAAAGAACATCATTTGCTTCAATATAATTATGCGGCATTATTGGCATATAACAACAAAACTACTTCTCTCGAAAATTTAGTATAATTTGTACAGATTAACTTCCATAACAGAGTAAAATTTCCAATTTGTCTTGATTAATTTGTAGAACTGTGTTTTACTTGATAAACATTTTTTGTAATGTCCATTATAAATTTTTTACAGTTATAATGACAGATGATAATAAAAAGTCATACAATATTTCATGACTTACGTCCTTTGTTTTGCCCTCGGCGTGTGTAGCTACAAGAAGTACTGATGCATCAGAACCACCGAACGTTTTAATGGAATTGACCCAGTATCTTAGATAGTCTATAAAAAGAAAGAGAATATTAAGGAAGTATACATTAATTCGCCTTCAAAGCATATATTAACTTATGTTTCCTAGTGAATAAGGTGAATATAATAAACAGGGATCGAACGACCGGTCTCCAAGTCCCGCAGTAAATTTGAACCCGCGACGTAAGGATCAGCTCCCTACTCCGCGATTCTAGAGCAGTCGCTCTTACAACTGCGCCACGCAAGCGATCAAATTGTCGTCTTCTTCAATGGGGAACACATTGTCATGACCTTGTATGCAAGGAAAAAAGATGAGGACAACGATTGAACAATGCTAAATCTAAAAAAAGAACTTCATGCAAAAAAAAAAAAAATCAACAAATCTGTGAACAGGGCATAAAACACGGACTCCAGGAAATTTTGGAGGTAGGTTCAGCTGCCTTGGAGAGGTGAAAATCCCTTGTTGACCTGTCATATTCGCCTTCAACCCTATGTATTGATCAGTGAAACGGAGTAATCTGTCGTCAAAGTCTTTTCTAAAACAATGGCCTGGGCATGGTATGAAATTTGCCAGTTAAAATACTACCTAAAGAATGTAACTTTATTTGCAATCAAGGTCATTACCGGTATAACGATCGAAGATTTTAAAAATGTTGATTTAAACGAGGTTTTTGAAATCCCCGTAACATCAATTAATCTGTTCAAAGTCTGCCTCGGTTTAATCAAAGTACTGAAAGTGCAGGAGAACGTTTAGCATAAGTTACAACAAAATTCTTAGTCCTAAATGATACTATAATTTAAAAAAAACATTGGAGTTTATGTCAAATAAAATCACAGAGGATGCATAAATACTGAATTTTTCAGTAGTTAAGGACAGACGATACCTTCCTAAATAATATATAATTTTTTCCAAGATTTTGTCATTAAAGTATTGCTACTTTAACATGTTTACTCGCCAAAAATTGAGGTACCTTACCAGACATTTGTGCAAGATACCAGGGGGTAGTTTTCCTTATATAATCCTTTTGGGAAAAATTTAATTGACCAATATCAAATTTTTTAGTGTTTGGACTTTTTAAAGATGTTAAGACTGGTTTAAAACTGGTTTGGAAATCAGAAGGTAGATAAAATTTTGCATATTTTTTATATATTACGAAGATATACAAAACAGATATTTGAGGAACGTATCGTCTGACCTTAATAAAATTACAAAGCCAAATGAAAAAGAAAATATTTTTATCAACTGATGCCATAAATTCATATTCAAGTAAACCGAGGAAGGCTACAGACAGATAAGTTGATGTTTCAGGGATTTCAACTCGTTTAAAATCGTCATTTTATGAATTCTATTGTCGTTTTTATAACCGTGAAAAAAAATATAACCTATCAGTTGGGTCATATTTTGGATGTCTTATTTCATTCCAATTGTTAGACCTTTGTTTTTATACTGATTTTGATTCCTAGGCACATGATCCCACCTCCAGAATTTCCAGGGGTCAATGTTTATGCCTTTGCACATATTTATATTGTTAATCGATTTTTTGAGATCGACCCCTGTTCGTTATCGTTCATATACCTTTCATCAAGTTCAAGTTCTTTATTTCTTTGTGTCATACGACACATCAGATTACATATAGTAATAGCTAAACATACATACAATATTATAAAATATAACAATATGAGAGTGAGCATAATCAATATGTTCCTTTAAATTGAAATATAAACAAAAAATCCCCCCAAAAAGTTTTATATTCTGAATTCATTTCTGTTACGATCAGAAATCCCGACGTTGCAATAAATTATGTTGTATATTTATAGGCATGATCCCTAAAATTTTGTAATATTTGTTTAGTTGCCCTCACATTTTAAAAAATGTTAAAACACGTTAGGTTAAACATGATAGTTGGGATTCTGTATTTTAGAGGTATTGAGCAATATTTCAATGTTCAATTACTACTACCCTTACCACTGGAAAATGAACAAGCTATCAAGATAATAAAATTTCAAGCAATTTATAAAAACTTGACCATGTGAACAAATGTGCATGAGAAATGGAAGAATATCAAAAACATAATAAGACTTACACACTACACAGATACACAGAAGACAAATTTTTTCACGCAATACTCTTAATATAAGAGAAATCATGTGGGTTTTCTTTTTTTTTTTTTTTTTGCAAATATTATCGAAATAAAACCGTCTAGTATCTCCAAAAGTCTGTAAAAATGTACTAATAATGTGAGAGTGCATATCTAACAAGGTTTTATTATTGTATTTTTGTTTTATTTTTTATTTTATTTTTTTTATTTTTATTTTTTTTATCAACAAAGAATTTAGACCTTGCAGATAGCCCCCCCCCCTCCCCCAATCTCAAGCTGATTAATCGGTCGCATCATCTCGGCCTTTAGAATGTCAGTGGTCAGAAACGCCCAAGATGTTCCGAATGCTATTCCGTAAACAGATCATAGACAGCGCATTAACCTCCAGGAAACAATTTTTTTATGCATTTTGAAAATTGAAAATTCGGCATTGATTTGAAAGTCTTCTGTGAAAAAAAATTACCTATCGATCCAGATTTTTAATCCCGAGTCGGGTGAGGGAAAACAAACATTATTTTAAAGTTGGCCTTATGCTAACAACAAAACTTTCTGATAATCGTGCTTTTACTTTTCTAGCGTCAACTTCCCTTACTTATGTAGCAATGTACATTTATTGCATGAATTTTCGGGAGACATAAAGATTTCTTCGCCCCTGAAAAATCATATTCCCCGAGGCCAACGCCCAAGGGGAATGTGATTTTTCATGGGCGAAGACATCTTCATGTCTCCCGGAGATCCATGCAATAAATTGTTTATTATTCCAAATCAAGCACAATGCAGGAAATTTAAAGAAGATCCAACGAAGAAAGTAAATATTTTATACGAATATTATGAAACAGATGCAAGTTATATCACTAGTCGCGCTACATTGAAAAAATCCTTTGTGACAAGTCTGTGTGATTTATACACTAGTTAATATTTACAGTTTACACATTTGAATCGACACAGTCAATCAACGATATAAGCAATTACCTCACATTTGTGAAACACGAATTTTTCTTGCAGGGCAAACACGACGGTTACGTGAATGTCTCGGCCAATCAGATTCTATTTTACTTGTTATTTATATGAGGCATAATGATATACCCTTGTTACCTGTATATGGGGCTGATGTCCCCCAGTTAATTCGATACGCAAAACCATGCTCTGTACAAATAATTTTTAAAACGAGGCAAGTAACAAGGATATCAACAGTCTCGCTTGAAACCATCATTTTGCAAGTTCTATAGTCGATACAATGCCCTTATCAACAAATACAATGTATCATTAACTCAAATGCTGACTGACTTATTCATACTCATTGTTAGGCCATTTTTACACCCTGATATTTGTACGGATTTTTCCATTTACCCGATCATGACAAGGAGCACACGGCAAGTGACTGGTCGATAGGGAATGCTAACTCCTCCCGCCTCTGAAGATTTTGGAGGTCCTAGATTGTTCCGCTCACGATTTGTATCGTATAAATGGACTTTGAGTTTGAATACTGTGCGCTATCTCCATATTTTATCTATAACTACGATCATAAGCAAACAACATTAGAACATCAATATACTAGCAATGTTTGAGCTACATCTAACACAAAAGTTGGTTATGGTCATAGTAAAAGCCACTAAATAAGAAATACAAATTTAAATTAAAAAATTACTCGGTTAGATTGTCAAAAACAAACCTTTGTAAGTCCAAGTAGAAAAGACGGAACCCTTTCGTTCGTCTTTTTCACTGCTAACGACATCCTCAAATCCTTTAGTCATATCCAAAACCAAAGTATAGAAAGCCTCTGACCTCATATAAATTTGATGGCATGCGTAATAAGCAAATTGTCCGGCGAAATCTATCATGCTGACACTTGTTTCGTTTTCCCTTTCATCCAATATGTCTTTTAGATCTATTGCTAATGGTTTAGAATTTGCTCGACCCTCTTTAGCATTGACTGCATCGTCCTCAACATCCATTGAATTGAAATTTGCATCTTGAATAAGATTCAATATTTTGTCTTTCCTCTTGAGAGCGGACTTTGGAACACAAATCAATTGTTTGCTTTGAGACTGTTCTTTACCAGCTAAAAAAAATTATTTGCAATCTTGAAAACCTCATGTAAATGAAGATATGAACTCAATCGGTATAAATAAACCTTTACCTCTTAGGGTTCCATCTTTTACAGTAAATACATATTCGTAGATTTGAAGTCCTCTTGTGGAACAAATTTCTTTCATTTCCTCCAGAGTTTTTCCGATCAGTCTATAAAGCATTGTAGTTTTTCCAGCACCCGCGCATCCAACAACAATCCCTCGTGCATGACGAACTGTTATTTTTCCAGAGATCATGTACTGCAAAACCCGTTTTGCTTGAATATCTATTTTTAAACAAAATATACTGTATATCAGGTGAGACTTTTAGTTTTGGCATTCAGATGAAAATATTCATTTCTTCAAAAAACTTTGCAATAACATAATTACGAGACATGTATTTTTTTACTTCAGAATTCAGTACGCCAAATTCTAGTGTGAAAGTGTCTGTTTTTATAAAGCAGTAATCTTGCAAACACAGTGTACCTCCTACCACGAAAGGAGATCCTCTTCTACATGGATTTATCACGTCATTTGGATAAAACATTTTTAAAGGATTATGAAATGGCTATTTCCTCTTTTTATCTTTGTTTTCTAGTTATACACTTAATGAAACATATGGAGATAACGAACAGTATTAAAGCCCCAAAGTCCATTAAACAAAACAAATCAGGATCACAAAAGCAATATAAAAAAATCCTATCTTCAAGCAGACGCCCTACATCTGTTAATAAATATAAAAGAAAAACAAATAAAACCTTTTTACTTTAATCCACACACAATGATGAATTCATTTCCTTTTCCGTTCTTTCATCAATCAACAATTAAATAAGTGTGATAATTATTCAAACCATAAAGTACACATAGTATCCATTTATACTAAATTTTATTTGAAAAAATAGATCAAGCTATCATTTTTTGCTGATTTTATTAAGCTTTTTTTCTTTGTTAGATAAAAAGGCACTTTTCTCTAAATATTCATTTTATTCAGATCATTTTGGTTGTAGTGCCATTTGCAAAGAATTTGTTTAGAAAAAATGTGATCCCCGGAAGGCTTTTGAACAACATACGAAAATTAAATTTTATGTAACTATTAAGAAATTTAAAGAAAGTATATTTTGAAATTAACAAAAAATCTGTATTCATAGAAATAAATATATTAAGTAAGCTATAAATTTGTCGTTGTCGTCACTGCAATCTTAAGTATCTTAACATTTCAACACAAAAGACGTTTCTTACCTGAATTCTTCATTAAAAATGATTTCACGTAATTTTAAAAATTGAAACAAAAATTATGTTTATGAATTAAAAAGACAACCACTAAATCAAAATTCAAAAAAGATTTTTAAAAAAAAACCCGATAACACAGCTTTCAATGTACGTTCATAATCTCAACGTCAAAAATACTGTTTTTTTTATATATAGTTTTACTAAAACAAAATATTTTACCCATACAAATTATACCTAAGTTGTTCAAGAAGTCATTCCTATCTCGTATTTTAATTTTTCATCTTTAGACCGAAACAAAGTTACCTACAAATTTAAAAGCAATGTAACCTACTAGTATGTAACTGTTTTTTCTAAAAATAGTTAATTGAGAGTATAAAAAAAAATATAGAGGCTCATTCACCTGACCTAAAAATGTAATGTCAAATCAACCTGTATTATGCTTACATTTCAAAAACAAAAGAGATTTGTTATCTTATATGTGCTTTGAACATACTTGATAATTAGTGTAAGAGTATATTTACAAAATTTTTAATTACTGAATTAAAACTACTACCGAGATATTAATATCAAATGAAAAAATCACAGAAGACACAGCATTTTCTGCAAGTTTTTCTCTCAACCACAACCAGAAATTCTAATTCATATTCATGGATTTTGACAATACCGGATATCTTCTTCATCAAAATGTAAACCTCTCCATTATAAATTTTTATTTAAGTGTCTAAATGATAACAATGCATTTTGGATGATTTTTAAATGAGTGTTATAAAACAACATTTATAATAAATTTCTATTTACTAGTAACACTTTTTTATTCCTAAAAAAATTCTTACCTGTACACGATGGGCATGGACCTTTGATATAACATGAAATTAAAAAATATATATATATTATTTTTTCATGTTGCCACAGTATTAAATTGATTCCCTAAAATTTCATTCATTCATTCATTAAGAGATAAAATTGCAACTTTAGATGATTCTTTTTTAGTTTTATTTTCAACTTTATCTTTGTATAACAGTCTTTACAATTTTCAGTTTGGTGAAAAATTTAGCAAGTTTTGCCAAGTATTGAATACTTTTAAATGCTGAAAATTTGGATGACTTTCAAGTGAATGTTATAAAACAACATTTATAATAAATTTCTATTTACTAGTAACACTTTTATTTCCAAACAAAATTCTTACCTGTATGCGATGGGCATGGACCTTTGATATAACATGAAATTTAAAAATATATATATATTATTTTTTCATGTTGCCACAGTATTAAATTGATTCCTTAAAATTTCATTCATTAATCGAGTAGAGATAAAATTGCAACTTTAGATGATTCTTATCTAGTTTTTTCAACTTTATCTTTGTTTTACAGTCTTTACAATTTTCAGTTTGGTGAAAAATTTAGCAAGTATTGCCAAGTATTGAATACTTTTAAATGCTGAAAAAAATCATACCTGAAAACAGGTATGTTTTTTCAAAATCATCAATAGATTTTTTTAACCATTATAAGAGGGAGAAAAAACACATTCTACGTTTTATTATTCTTTTACAAAAATAAAGTTATACTTTTAGATTAATACTTAGAAATAAGATTTTACTTAAAAACCAAAAGGAAATAAAGTTATTCAGTTGACGAAGTTGGATCTGTATGTAATGAATCATACATAGAGATAGTTCTTGATGCATAGGACACACACTTTGCTATTGACAACTTAAAGCAATAAACTTGCATCAAACATGAATGCCTCCATAATTTGTCTTGTTTCTGATTTAAAGCTGAAGTTTAAATTGTTTAAATATGCCGATTTTTATAATCTAGTAGTGATAAAAATACTACGGTAGTTACTTTGATATATTTGACATCATCAAAGGGGAGTAACCAGAATATTATGATTTTGCAAATGTTTTGAGTAATCTTTGTTTCAATAGACTTCAAGGAAACGAGTCTGTCTTGGTAAAATTTGTTTATGATTGATAATTTTATAGAAATTTCCATAAAATTCCTTCTAAAGTTATGTATCAATTATCTTAGATAAGTTTTTTACTGGCATGTTTATTTCACTACACATCGGACGCAAATCAAGCAAGCATAGGGCATTACGCAGAGATAATCTTTTTTAAGATAATAGACATGTGTTTTTTCAGAATTAAGAAAAAGTCAAACAAAGCATATTCAATGATGTAGCAATATACACTTATCTCCTGCATACAGAAATTATGTCTCCCAGGCCAGTCGATACATATGAGCATGATCTTCCTACGAGGCCATATTGGACATGAATGCTGGACTTCTACAATCACCATACTTTGGTGAAATGAATCTGGTTAGGGAGAACAAGTTACAGAATACATGTGCACGTATTCTCATGATTAAGACAGTGGGCATATCCGCTAAGTGCAAAATGTTTGTAAAAGGAAGTACGGACTGCAAATTTCCACAAGGTCTCGAGAGGTTGTAAGAGTCACTACGTAAGGAGAAAGATATATTGATGCCTAAGTCTATTGTCGAGGTAAGTGATAATAATGTGTTATTCTCAGTCCTCAACCCTACAACCGAAACAGTGACACTTAAGAAAAACGTCCCAGTGTCAATCTGTCCAAAAATAGAATCTGTCACCAAATACAGCAATTAAGTCACAGAAAACGGTCCCGGAGAAACAAGCCTCCAATTTGCAGCCTCTTCTTGATAATAGTTCTGGCAGTCTTACCATTCAGCAAGGCCAACAGCTGAGAAAGACTTTAAAAAGTTATGTTGACCTTTTTCACGGGACTACATATCCAATAAGGGCATCCAGACCTCGTAAAATACTCCATTAATACCGGCGATGCTAAGCCAATTAAGTTTTCACCGACACGTCTCTCTATTCACCAAAAAGCTGTTGCAGATCAAGAGTTATAGAACATACTAAAAGCAAATGTTATTAAATAAGTTCAACTTTGGATCCACCAATAGTTCTAGTTAAGAAAAGGAATGGAACCACACGATTATGTGTTGATTACCGCAAAATAAACAATTTTACAGTTAAGGAAACGAAAATCAAAGATTGATTGTTTGTTTGTTGTTTTAAGTCCCGTTCGAGAATTTTTCACACATATAGAGACATCACCATATACCGGTGAAGGGTTTCAAATTAAGACCTTTACTCGGCACTCAGGGCCATTGAGCAATGAGAGTTCTTTATCGTGCCAACGCCTACCGTGACGCGGGGCCTGAGTTTTTAAGGTCTCATCCGAAGGACCTGCTACTTTCACTTCAAAGTACCGAGCGCTTAACGAAGGAACAGATGCTACCCGTTTTTATTATGTTAGTCGCGGCCGCGATTCGAACACAGGAACTTCCGATCACGGAGCGAGGGCTCTACCGACTGAGCTACCATGACGGTATAAAACCAAAGAAATGCACACTGATTCAAGAACAAGTAAACTTCCTTGGACACATCGTTTCTCATGACGGAATCATATGTAATCCAGAGAAGACAGATGCAGTGAAGAATTGGCCAACGCCCTCTACGTTATCTGAAGTAAGGATTTTTATAGGAATTGCTTTCTTTTATCGCCGTTTTAATGAAAAACTTTTCAAACATTGCTAACCTATTGACGTATTTAAACCAGAAAAACATGAAATTGGAGTGGATTGATGACTGTGACCTTGCATTCAATACTTTAAAGCATTTACTTACAACAGCGCCAATACACATATGAATCGCGGGACAACACCTTTAATTCAGTCCGAAATAGGTTTTACTGGCCTGGAATGTCTGATGAAATTAGCCGTTGGTGTCAAACCAAAGAAGAAGCCAGGACCAGGGGTAGGTAAATTACCAATGCAACACTATGAAGTACATGAACCATTAGAGTGTATTGCTATTGACATAGTTGGTCCTCTTCCAGTAACCAACAGAGGAAACCAGTACATTATTCTCGTAGGAGACTACCTCTCAAAGTGGAAGGAGGCCTTTGCCATAGTCGATCATACTACGCAGACTCTAGCAAATATCCTGGTTACGGAGTTTATATGCCGATTTGGTGAACCAACACGCATTCATATTGACCAGGGAA